TGTGATGATGAAATTAAAGAAACATAATGGGCTAGAATGAGCAAGAGACAATAAAATAAAATTAAGGCCAAGGATAAGAACTCACTCACCACTGACACTATGGTAGTACAAGTCATTAAATTGTGTTTGGAGGCACTACTTATTTTGAGCAGTTAGAAGACAGAGTCTTTTTGACTAATAAGAGAACCCTCCTTTTTTGCTTATATATATATATATATGTTAATTTCAGAATATTACGGGTGTACAAATAGTTTACATATATTGCACTTTTATGCTTTTTGACTGATAAAGGAATCCTCTGTATCTAAGAATAGAATGATTCCTTTCCTCCCCACCACAACACTTACAAGAAGAGTGTGCATATTACTTATTGATGTAAAAATATTTTTCATGCACAGATAATTTTGTGTGAGTTTTATTATATATATGTTTATGTTTAAATATATATGAAGGAAAGGCATGAGGATCCATATCATTAACCCAATTCACATACTTGGACCTGCCCAGGGACTCGCGGGGCCGGCGCCCCAGACTCAGCGCCACCAGGACTGAGCCCAAGATGTGGGCCTAGGCTGGGGCTCCAGGACGCGGACAGGGAGGCGATGAGGCGCCGCTGCTGCCGGGATTCGAGGCCTCTGGGCTCCTGAGGGCTTACCCTGATGGCCTGGCGGAGCGGGTGGCAGGTGGCGAGAGGACGGAGTGTTGGGAGCTGGCCTCGCAGCACCACGCCTGCCAAGGTGCGGCTCAAGAAGCGGGAGCCGCTGATCCTGCAGCCGCCCTGGCGCAAGGAGAGCGCCCTGCGGGTGGAGACGCCGCTCGCCGTGCTCCTCTGCCTGTGCACAGAGAGCGGCCACTGGGCCCCGCGCCGCGACAAGCGCGTGGCCGAGATCCTCGACTGGGGTAAGTGCGCGGGGCTCGGGCCTGCCCCCTGTCCGCCAGGTCCGGCCTGCGCGGCTTCACGTGGCCCCTCCCCGCGGGCTGACCCTCCTGCCCACCGGGCGCCTGCCTCCACCCTGCCTTAGGCCTCCTCTCACCTCGCCCGCTCCCCTTCCCAGGCCCGCTGCCCATCCCTCTCCAGCCGCTCCTCGCGCCCTTGTCCCTCTGCTCGCTCTTCATCCCTCCCTAGCCTACCGGGCCTCGACAGGAGTGTTCGCGCGTCCTGCCCCCTCATCCTCCCATTTGGAGCCACATCCTCTGTTCCCAACCCCCTAACCCTTTTCAAATCTAAACAGAAGATGTGTGCTATAATATGGACATATTTTCAAAATTTTATTTTGGTTCTTTGGAAATTGTAATTATAAATTATATTATTCTCTTAAGAACTCATTTTGTGGAGATGTGTAAACTTTCAATTATAATTGAAGAAGAATGGTTTTAAATTTAAGGTGGAGTTTTAATGAAATATGTTTCAGAGGTATTACTTAATCTCATGTATGGTAACATATACACTATTTTCACTCTGCAGTGGTGTGCTAGTAAGCTAAGATATGTGTGCAGTTTTTTGTTGTTTTTTTTTTTAAGAGATGAGGCTCCCTCTGTCACCTATCCTGGAGTGCAGTGGCTCCATTATAGCTCACTGCAGCCTTGAATTCCTGGGCTCAAGATATCCTACACCTTAGTTTTCTGAGTAGCTAGGACTATAGGCATGCACCCACCTTGCCCAGCTAGTATTTTTTTTTTTAGTTTTTTTGAGATGATATTCTTAGTATGTTGCCTAGTCTGCTCTCGAATGCCTGGCCTCAGAGTGGCTAGGATATACAGGCCAGATCCACTATGTGTAGCCATTAGTTAGTGTTACTTGGAATTGCCTAGTATGTCATCTGGAAAACAGAGAATGCCCTTTAGAATAAAATTGTTCATAGAGCATTATTATGTATCCTAACTTTCAAGTGGAATTACTTCTGCCTGGGAAAACTGCTCAGGCAACTTACATAGGCTGTCAATCAGTAGATTGTTAAGTTTTTGAATTCACCACTCCACAATGTCTGAAACCTCTGATATATTGATTCCTGTCATGCAGAAAGCCCACCTTCCCCACTTCCCAAATCTTGCCAGGTATCTAATGACAATTATGTAGAATTCTTGAAACTTAATGAAGAAAAGCAGCTGATACAGGCCAGAATTTGGGACTTATTTGGAAATCTTTGAGGAAATTTGGAAAGTACAGGTAATGAAGTTTTTAAGTTTTAAACAATTAAAAAAATCCACCTATATGTGTTTATTATTCTAAGGCATGCATTGATTAAAAGTTTAAAAGAGTAAACAAATAAAAAGTACATTCTTTAAAAATAATTAAGAACACTTTTTAACTTTAAAAATAACAAGCATAATCACCTAAAAATAGTAAGTATATTTTTAGCTACATTGAATAAACATGATTTCCTATTACATTTTTCATAAGCTTTTCGTTTGTGAGGACAATGTTGATGCCCTCCCCAATAGACATTTATTTTGTATTTTTCTTTAATGCCAGAAACTTCCTTTCACGATAGATGATGAAAATGGGAAAAATTCATTCTGCTAGTTTTCCTTGCAGTTAGGGTGGCTGTATTACATAGCCTATAACAGAAGAGAAATCAAGGGCAGTTATCTACTGGCTTCAGGAGAAGACGTACTTCATAATATATAGGGAGATACATGAAGGGAGTTCTCTTGCCTTTTAATCTGGCTTTCTTCTTTGGATACAGTTATGTTTACATGCAAATTTTAGAGCTACAGCAGCTATTTTGTGACCATGAGGTGACAAGCCTGAGGACTGAGACAAACAGACTGAGCACAGGGGAATGGAAGAGCCTGGTCCTCGATTAGAGTGCTCAGTTTCTGAACCTACCTAGAACACTCTATCTCCAGCTTTATTGTTACATTCTCCTAATTAAAATGGGTTTTTAAATGAGCATGTGCTTAAAACAAGTAAATAATTGGAATAGTTCTTTTATGTCTCCAAATCAACTACACCTCAACTTCTTTAATTTTAAATCGAACTGAATCATAGTTTTGAAACTCATATTTTTATTACATAGCCTCAAATGACCATAGCATACATGTACATTTCCAGGATACGGGTAGTATGAGTGGGTAATGGAGAACCATTGAATGTTCTAAATTTGGGGAGGGACAAGCTTCACTTTCAGATCTGATTGTAGCAGCAGTGCAGATGCCTAAGTAAGAGGGAGTATGTGGGAAAATGCTAGAATGAGAGTTAGGAGTCACTACATTTCAGCAATACAGTTTAGTTAAAACCTGAAGAGTACCAGAGCTTGTGTGGTAGTGTAGGAAAGGGATGGAGGACACTGTGTTTGCAGATTCTATTCTTAGCATGTGAGAAATATGGAAAAGATTCTGAAGGTTTTGAGCCAAGGAACATAATTTCCATAAACATTTAAGGAGTTCCTACTATATTATATGCCCTGCTCTGTACTTAGCACCAGGAGCAGAGCAGTAAGCAAATCAAAAGTGATCTTTGTCCTTACAGAACTTATTGTTTTTAGGAGGAAAAGAGGGATTAAAGGGACATAATATGAGTGGAAGAGCTTCCAAGATTATGGGAATATAAATAATGACACCTGACATTTATTGACTGTTTGCCATTTGCCACACAGTGTTCTAACCATTTAACTTTTAGTTGCTTATCTAATTGTCATTAAGAACCAAAGGAAAGAGATGCTGTTATTACTGTCCCTATTTCAGCAGTTTTGAATGTGAAGCATAGACAATTTCAGTAACTTTTAAGTTAGTTGTTACATTTAAACTCCCAGCAGGATCCTCAGGTAGAAATTTACAGTATGTGTTTAGAAGTACAATATATTAGACAAAAGAAAGAAATTCAGAAGGAAACTGATATAGCCCATGAGAAGTCCCAATTCAAGTGCGTTACTACAATTCATGCAAAATTTAAGATAAAAAATTGAGGGAGGCTTGGACCTTGGACCTTTTGGAAATTTTCCTTTTGGGGGTTGGGAAAAGTGGGGGAGTTTTCCGGGGCATTTTTTTCCCTTTGGTTATTAGGTTATTGTTGGGTTGGGGTTTTTTTTTTTTTGTTTTTTGGTGTGTACACCCCCGGGTGTGGAGAGGAGTTTTGTGTAATTTTGTGTGTCTGTGGGGCTGTGGATCTCGGTGTCGGGTGTGTATATACTCTCTTTTTTTTTCTTTTTCTCTTCTAGTTTTTTTTCTGTTGTGGGGGGCTTTTGTGCTTTTCTCTTGTTTTTATCCCGTGTGCTCTATCTGCTTACTCTCATGTGAACTGTGTGTTTTCTCTTGTGGCATGTGTTGTTATTATTGTGTTTTTGTTTTTTTTGTGTGAGGGGTCTCAGTGTTATAGAGAGATCTTGTTCTCTATTTCTTATCGCTTTTTCGGGGGTGTTTTGAAGTTTATGTGTGTGGTGCCCTTTTTTTGTCTCAGGCACCCAAGGCTTCGGACCTTGGGTTTTCCTTTCCGGGCCCTTGTTGTCAATTGCCAGGATTCGGAAGGCCTCAGGGTTTTTTGTTTTGAGGGGGTTGGTTTTTTGATTTCCTTGCTTTTAATTTTCTTCTTTTTTTGGGTTTTCCTTCTTGGATTTTAGTTTTTCCCATTTTTTTCTTTTTTTTTGCGTTCTTGGGCTTCAACGGAGGTTTTGGGAGGATTTTTTTGAGGTGGAGCAGAGAATGTCCAGACATTAGTGGACGCAGTGGTTGCAGCATCTAATCAGTGAGTTCCCTCTCCACAGACAGAACACTCTCTGTTCTAGATGTAGGGCTGTCATTCGATCACATGGGGCCATAATTTAACCTGTCCTAGACTCTGGTTCCATATTCCTGGATAGAAATAATATTTTGGCAACCTCCCACCAGAGCCTAGTCTGCATTAGAGGCCAGCACAAGGTTGCTATGGTTTTGCCTCCAATTTCATGGGTGAGAGGAGGGATGAAGTGAATGAAGAAATGATGAGATGAGAGAAGGATGATTCTGTTCTGGCCCACCCTTCTTTCCTCTTATCCCCTCTTATTTCCAGTAGTCATGTTTGCCTCTGGCAGCCCCAGCCTTCATGCTGTAGACTAAGTTGGTGGTCCTGTTGGCTGTATGTTATTACTTAGTAAGTCTCTTATAAGAGGCAGTTGGTACCACTCAGCATCATGGTGGTGGTAATGGCAGATTGTGGGGCTCCAGGTTGGGTTAGTCTCACACAACCTCAGCATATACACAACTCTTATGGGACCAGCTTTGTGGTAAGAGCTGGGTTTTCCTCTAAAGTGACCCCTTTTTCCTGTGTCCACAGACCCCCTTAGAGAAGAATGGCTCCTGGAAATGGCTCTTTTGTGTCTGAATTCATTCTGGCGGGATTAACACAGCAGCCAGATCTCCAAATGCCCCTGTTCTTTCTGTTTCTAGCAATGTATGTGGTCACTGTATTGGGGAATTTGGGCTTGGTAACTCTAATTGGGCTGAGTTCACACCTTCACACCCCCATGTACTTTTTCCTCTTTAATTTGTCCTTCATAGACCTCTGTTATTCTTCTGTGTTTACACCTAAAATGTTGTTGAACTTCACATTAGAGAAGAACATTATCTCCTACATGGGGTGTATGACCCAGCTGTACTTTTACTGTTTTTTTGTCATTTCTGAATGTTATGTGCTGATGTCAATGGCCTATGACTGCTATGTGGCCATCTGTAACCCACTTTTGTATAACATTGTCATGTCTCCTAAGGTATGTCCTACCCTTATGTTTGGGTCATACTTGGTGGCCTTCTCTGGTGCCATGGCCCACACTGGATGCATGCTGAGACTGACCTTCTGTGATGCAAACACCATCAACCACTATTTCTGTGACATCCTCCCTGTGCTCCAGCTCTCCTGCACCAGCACCTATGTTAATGAGCTGGTGGTTTTCATTTTGGTAGGCATCACCATCATTGTAGCAAGCCTTACCATCTTTATTTCTTATAGTTGCATCCTTTCCAACATCCTTAAAATTAGCTCCAAGGAGGGCAGGTCCAAAGCCTTTAGCACTTGCAGTTCCCACATAATTGCTGTAGAAGAAAGTTATGATCTGTGCATTTAGATATAGGACAGAGATATTCTGTTGTTTAATTATAGTATTTTTATGATACTTTTCTTAACCTATTTTTTACTATTGTGAAGAAAATTTGAGACTTCTCTCAATAATTTATTTCCACTTCCTATACAGTATGTCTTTTTTCTTTTTTGTTCATGTGAATAATTCCTTTCTCTACAAAATTTTACTGTATAGTAATAACATTAAGGAAAAAAATTCTATTTTTGTTTTTTTAGGTTGTCATTTGTAGCATTACTTTTCCTCTAGAAATAGATAAATAATATGCAGATAATCAAGCAAAGTAAAAACTTTGTGAATCATTGTATCATTAGTGGGGTGGGAATTGTTATCTGATACTTTCCACTGGTAGCATGAATCTGTTTTCACTCCTATCTGTCCATCAAACACTGAACAAGGATATGTCTCCTTTAAATAGAGATGGGAGGTTTCATAAAGACATCTATTTTGCAGGTATAAACACTATGGGTTAGGTTTCTTTTGGCACAAAGTTTCTTATTTCTTTTTGCACTCAGACTAGTGCATAACAGAAGGATAATATTATTTATTGCTTACATGGGCAAGTGAAGCCTGAATAGTAATGACTTACTTAAAGCCACACAGTTTCTTCATGAAAAAAGTGTAAACTAAACTCTTCACCTTTTGATTTCAAGCTACTACTCTTTGTAGTATATTTTGCTTCTGATTTACTATTTATATTTCAGTAAATATGTAATAGGAGAAAACGTTTCTGACTTGGAAGTTGATTATGCTTTGTTACAGATTGGTACATGAATTTCTGACCAGGTGAGTATTGCTTCTTGTATCCTTGTTGTCTGTTTATTTAGGAAAGCAACTTGATGGTTCTTTTCATTTGGAAGGAGGAGGCCTTTGAAGCTAGGGTAGTAGGGAGATCATTGGCTCCAACTGGGGGTGACTTTTTCAGCAAATTGAAAACAATGAGTGTGAAATGTTATCAGGGACATGTATTTCAGAGATCAAGGCAAAAATATAAAAGGATCCCAGAAACATGTCATCAGGCCATGCCTCAAAGAGACACACAGCCAGTAATTAAGGGGGCCTTCGGTAGGAACTGGTAAATGAGGTTGTACAAACCACATTTTGATCTGAATTTGTATCCTGTTGTGTGGAGCACTGTATTTATCCTGCACTGTCCATTAAGCTTTGATAAATATTACAATATGTAATGGCCATACAGTATTATTATTTGGGGAATGAAGGCAAAAAACCATGGTCACATTTGTGGGAAATCTGATAGAGATGGAACACTGACTTCTGAATAAAAAATAGTGTATGGTTTTTGAAACTCAACTTAGGAAGAAAGACTATACAAAGTAAAATGATGAGAAAATCAAATTCCCTGGCTATGACTCACTTCTTCTTTCTGGAAGGCCCTACGAAATTATGGAGATCAGAAAATTTATTAAAGCAGGAATAAAGCTTAAGTTATTTGATATTGAAAAAAGTTAATTTCAGAGGTCTGGACAGTCTGGGAACAACCAAATTACACTTGTTTTTCTTGGTTTCCATATACATCTTTCATATGGATTTTAAGCTATAAAAACTCCAAATTGCAGTTGGATAGCTATGATAATTTTAAAAAACCTCACACACTGCCTTTTCAATAGACACCATTCTCACTGGAGTTAGGTGATATCTCATTATAGTTTTTATTTGCATTTTCCTAATGATTAGAGATGTTGAGCACTTTGTTATACATTTTCTGGCCATTAGTCTGTCTTCTTTTGAAAAGTTTCTGTTCATCTCCTTTTCCCATTTATTGATAGGGTTTATAATTTTTTGTTTTTGACTTTCCTGAGTTCTATATAGATATTAGTTATCAGCCCTTTATCAGATGTGCAACATGTGAATATTTTCTCCCATTCTGTAGTTTGTCTTGTCCTGGTGAATTCTGTCAGTCTTTGCTTATATGAGAAGGTCTTTATTTCTCCTTGGTATACAAAACTTAGTTTTTCAGGGTACAAGATTCTAAACTGGGCATTATTCTGTGTAAGAAGAATGAGAATGAGGCTGCAGTCTCTTTTCGTTTGTAAGGTTGCAGTTGAGAAGTCTACTGTTATTCGGATGGGTTTTCCTTTGTAGGTTGCCTGCTTCTTTCACCTTTCAGCTTGTAGGAGGACCTCTTTGGTGGTTATTTTAGTCAGTCTGATGACTGTCTGTTGTGTGTCTTTCTGTTTGTGATGAATCTCCGAGGATACCTTTGAGCTTCTTCTATCTGGACATCTCGTTTTTAGCAAGGCCTGGGCAATTTTCCTCTATTATAGCCTCAAGTAGATTGTCTAACTCTTGTGTATTTTCTTCTTCAGCCCCAGGGATGCCTATGATTGTCAAGTTAAGCTTTCTCACATATTTCCACATTTCTTGTAGTCTTTGCTCTTTTTTCTTATTTCTTTGCTCTAACTCTGTGACTGACTTATATAATTGAAGGACGTTATCTTCAGTCCCTGAGATTTTGTCTTCTGTTTGATCTATCCTGATCTTGAGCCTTTCCACTGTGTTTTGTAATTCCTTCAATAAATTCTTCATTTCTAGGTGTTCAATCTGACTTTTCTTTATTCTTTCAATTTCTTTTGTGAAGTTTTCTTCCAAGTTTTGGATTTTTTGTGTGCAGTGTCTTTGTGTTGGTTATCCATTTTTTCTTGCATATCATTGAGTTTTCTTACAATCCATGTTTGAAATTCTTTTTCTGTCATTTTAGTGTTCTGAATTTGGTTGATGTCCATTGCTAGAGAGCTGGTTTTCCCCCTTGGGGGTATGCTTTCTGTTTGATTCTTCATACTTCTAGAGTTCTTTCATTGATTCCTTCCCATCTGGATTAGCTGTTGCTTCCCACCTTTCCATTTTGATTTGGAAAATGACATGCCTTGTTAAGACTATGTGTCAGGCCGGGCGCTGTGGCTCACGCCTGTAATCCTAGCTCTTGGGAGGCCGAGGCGGGCGGATTGCTCAAGGTCAGGAGTTCAAAACCAGCCTGAGCAAGAGCGAGACTCCGTCTCTACTATAAATAGAAAGAAATTAATTGGCCAACTGATATATATATAAAAAAAAAAAATTAGCCGGGCATGGTGGCGCATGCCTGTAGTCCCAGCTACCCGGGAGGCTGAGGCAGAAGGATCACTGGAGCCCAGGAGTTTGAGGTTGCTGTGAGCTAGGCTGACGCCACGGCACTCACTCTAGCCCGGGCAACAAAGTGAGACTCTGTCTCAAAAAAAAAAAAAAAAAAAGACTATGTGTCAGTAGGTGCTGTTTAGGAAATAGGCAGATTTCAGCTGTTGCCTACCAGCCTGGATGTGTGTGCTTATATGTTTGTTTGATCTGCCACTAAGGGGAGTGGCCAATATATTGTACAGAGTACTTCTACCACACTTGAGAGGTTGCTCCTGATGGGAGGGGTTACTTGGGCACCTGCTATGGCCTCTGGTCAGGATTTTCCTTCCCTGACTACTAACTCCACTATTGGCAGCTGACTAGATGCAGAGATCAGGCCCTAGAGTTATGATCCTACTGGATGACCTAAGGCAGTCTGACAAGCTGAGTCACTGGGCTGTCAACTGTTGATTTTCCCCAAGACCCCACAGATTCACCTGAGTCACAAAGGGAAAGTGACTTTTCTTGTCTCTCCCTACCTCCAGGGGTGGAGCCTACCACTTTTCGAGCGAAAATTTCTGTGCTGGGGGAGGAGTGATGCCCCAGTCCACTCAGTGCCCCAGTACTTGTGAATCCTTCAGATGTTAGCCTCCCATGATTGGGGAAGTAATCAAAATTCACCCATCAAAATAGGCCTGGCTAGTTGACAATAGATCTTGGAAGGGCAGAGCTTGTTGTGAGAGTCCCCAGGCTGGAGAAGGGGTGCTGCCTCTACACCATAATGAACCACATGATCTGAGTTGCGGATCTCAAAAATGGTGGCTGCCTGTCTGCAGAGCACTATCACTGGAGGTGACTCTCAGGGGCTGGCAGATGCCAGACTGGGGACCTGAGTCATCAGGGCACTATGTTGTCTCTTTTGTGTCGCCCTTCAGCAATCTCATGCCTGTTTGGCAGGAGATCTTGCTCTTTCTGACCACTCTGAATCAGCCTATTCTCCCATAGTGGTTTCCAGGATAGAGTCCCCTTTTCAGTGTTCACTTCTGTTGTTCTGGACCCACTGACCGCTAGGGGCAAAGTGCCTGTCTCCTAACTCCCTCAAGCGATAGCTCAGACCAGTCCCTGTCCCACCTAGTGCAGTCCTAGAACAGAGCCCCCCGAGTTCAAGATGCTTCCTACTATTGTCTCCTCTCCACAGAGCCCAACCTCTCCTGCAGACATTTTGCACCAACTTCAGGCAGGTCCCTGTCTGAGTGGGTGTGGAGGTCAGTGGGGAAGCAGGACCTTATCCTTGGGTCAGATCTCACTGCACTCGCTGGCCTGGCAGGCACAGTCATCCCATGCTGTTCTCTTGTTTATCTCGCACTCTCCAGACTTCGGAATCCTATCTCTGTTTCACCTTTTTTCCCTGTGTTATGTGTCCCATGCTGTTTCATTTTAGTTTCACAATGCTGTTCTTGCATGGGAGCGATTCACTCGTGCGTAGCAGATTTTGTTCTTCACCTTTTTCTCTGGGTACTGGGATTCAGGAAGTCACCTTTACTCCATTTTTCTTCCTCCTGTAACTGTCCAGACTGTCAGTCTTATAAAACACCAATAACGTTTCCGCTGATAGAAGAACTGGGAATAAGAAAGGCCATTTCATTCATAGCCTGTGGAAATATGATTGTGGCCTTTGCAAAAACCACCTGATATTTAACAGAAACACAATATTGTGGAATTTATCCCATTGAAATAAAAGTACTGGTATATCAAGATGTATGCACCATGATGATTATTGTAGCATTACTTTTACTACTAAGAAGACTGGTAAATAGTTTGTATCAATATGGGGTGGTTGGTTAATTTATGAGATAGCCACAACATAGAATATTAGAGATATTTCAAAAAGTATTGTTAAATGACAAAAGAGATAGTTCAAAATATTTACTTTGTAAATCAAGTATAAATCTCCTATAAATGTATTTGCTTATATTAGCAGGGAGGAAAATAGGAAAAAGGTGTGTGCTAGGTTATCACATGAATAACTGGGGCTGATGAGTCAGAGGGGAGCTGTGAAGGGGAGTGCTGAGTAAGAAGGAAAAGGAAGTGATTTGTCATAAAACACATAAAGTATTATACACCAAAGGATCATGTATGCTTTGGTAAAATTATGTATGCATGGGCCAATGTGTATGTGCAGGTAGTGTTTGAGAGATGTTTTAAATGTCATTAGCTATGTGTTAGCAATTTTATCTAAAAATGAAAGAAACATTAGGAGAATGAGGAGGAAATTTTCTACCTCATCTGCCCCAGGGAATGTGCAATCCCTAATGTGATATTTTGAGTTGAATATTGTCTCTAGAGACACTAGAGTAAAAACATCTTCATGTGTGTATAAACAATTTTTTTTAAAAATCTTTGTTTCCTAAAGGGGCTCTTGGGAAAGCCTCTATATCAAATCCCTGAGAACTTGAAGCTCAGACTTTTTAAAATAAATACCTGATGCTACCTATCATTATGTTGGAAAAAATGAGTGCTATTCAATTCTTTTCTTGTAGTTTAATGATTATCACTGGGAAAAATCATAATTAAAAATCATGATCTTTATCTGATCGACTCTCAGAGCAAGTCAAAGACTGAGATTTGTCAATGCCCTCAGACTCTCCACAAAAAAGGAGGAGGAGCATTTTAGTTACAACTTCCACTTCCTACAGCAGCAGGAGGGTGGAGAACAAAGGTGGAGCGGAAACTTCAAGGATAATTCTGATGCCTCTAGGCAGAAGGAGGGTGAGACTGAACCTTTGTTTTCAGTTGCTTCCACGGATTTTTCCACTTTTCCCAGCTTTGACCCTGAGGTACACATGAGACCAGAAGTAGTGCTTATATGATAAAGTCTGCAGTGCCTCCAATCTTTCTACCCCTTAGAGAATTTCCTATGAAGGAGGCCAGGGTTCCATTTATGACTTAGGATTGTCATGCTGTGCATGTTTGGGAAGCTAAAGCATCTCTGGGAGCATGTTTCCCTAACTCTGCTATGGACATGGTGCTCATGGTCTCCACCCTACACTGCATGCAGTCTGGACTGGTGGCAGGCAGAGGGTATCCAGAGTGTGGTGAGTAAAGTTTAACAAGCATAAACTGGAGTTAGTGTAGATGACACCCTGAAGCAGAGAAAAGATCAGAACTCCTTGCACTTCTCCTTGATACTTTCCTCCCACGTGCTTATACTGTGCTTATTATGCCTCCCGTGTACCTGTTGTCTTTGTACAAGCAGCGCCAGATTCAGCTTTCCATATAATAGTTAAACCTCTGCAGAGTCTCTGGGATTTTTGGTTCCAGAAGGGATTGGGCATGGCATTGCATGGTAATTCTGGGCCTTAAATATGACTCTACTCCCCTATTTTTCAGGTCTCACTGAAAGAGAATGGACATTGGAAACAGTTCCTTTGTCGCTGAGTTTATCCTCGTGGGTTTAACAGAATATGCAGGGATCCAGCTCCCCCTCTTCTTCCTCTTCCTAGGAATCTATGTTGTCACTGTAGCAGGAAACCTGGGCTTGGTCACTCTAATTGGACTGAATTCTCACCTTCACACTCCCATGTACTACTTCCTCTTTAATTTGTCCTTTATTGATCTCTGTTACTCTTCTGTCATTACCCCAAAACTGTTGGTAAACTTCGTGTCAAAGATGAACACCATCTCCTACGGAGGGTGCATGACTCAGCTCTTTTTCTACTGCCTCTTTGTCAGTGCAGAGTGCTATGTGTTGACAGTGATGGCCTATGATCGCTATGTGGCCATCTGTAAGCCCCTGCTGTACACGGTCACCATGTCCCCCAAGGTCTGTTCTCTGCTGTCTGTGATTGTATATGTGGGGGCGTTTATTGGTGCTTGGGCCCATACAGGCTGCATGCTGAGGTTGATCTTCTGTGAGGCCAACACCATCAACCACTACATGTGTGACATCCTCCCCCTCCTGGAGCTCTCCTGCACCAGCACTCACATCAATGAATTGGTGGTTTTTGTTGTTGTGGGCTTTGATGTTGGTGTGCCCAGTCTCACCATCATTGTCTCTTATGCTTTCATCCTCTCCAGCATCCTCCGCATTCATTCCACGGAAGGAAGGTCCAAAGCCTTTAGCACTTGTAGCTCACATATAATTGTTGTTTCTGTTTTCTTTGGGTCAGGGGCATTCATGTATCTTCATCCTTCTTCTGTTTTGTCCATGGACCAGGGGAAAGTGTCCACAGTGTTCTATACCATTGTGGTGCCCATGCTTAATCCTCTGATCTACAGCTTCAGGAACAAGGAGGTTAAGGTTGCACTGAGAAAAAGCTTGAGAAGAAAAACATTTTCTTGAACTGAGAGCAGTATTAATTATTATGAGAATACAGGGTTCCCTTGAAATGTTCCCTCTCCCACACACTACTCCAGAGTTCCTTTACAAAGAAAGAAGTTAGGTACAACATAAAGAGCATCAGATTTGGAATACAAAGCCTGGGCTGAACGCTCTGAAAAATAAGGGCATGATATAATTTCATAGGGTTAATAAGATAATGGGAAAATAAGATAATGTAAATTAAATTAGTACAGTAGCGGAGCTTACTAGTTGTGAAAATGATTCCTTCCTCTCCCCTTTCCTTCTTCCTCTCCTTTCTCTTTCTCTCTCATCTGTCCCAATGTTTTCCACTGTTATAGGGAATTTTTACACCTTTTACAAATAGATTTACTAGTTTATTATAGATGAAAATTTTCTGATTATGGAAAGAATCTCTTTACAGATAACTTCAGATACACATCTGAACTTCAGACCTTTCCTAATATCTCCATTTGAATTCTTCATAGGCATCTGAACTCAACATGTGACAATGAACTTTGTCATAGCAGGAGCTCCAACCCACCAGACTCCCTTGTACTCCCATGATCACTGTCACAGTGAATGGCACCATCTACTTAGTTGCTCAACCCTAGACAAGTGTCTTCCCTGGTTCCTCTCTCTACTCATCACCTCTCATCCCTTCTTTCCCATACTTAGTGCTGCAGTTATAGAGAACCCCCTCCTATTTCCCATTTGGACCCATTACTCCCAGTATCACTTGATGCAATAGTTATGCCTCCCATGTTCCTGTCTTCCTTGAACGAGCAGAACTAGGTCCAGCTGTGACCCATTGTACTTTCCCAAATAGAATATAATACATTCCTGTTCCCTTGAACACTTTTGCACACACTCTCCCCTCTGCCTGGAACTCTTGTATATCTTCTTTGCCTTGCTCAACCTACCTATCTGTCAGGTATGAGGTTACCTGAAACCTCTGGAAAATACAAAAAGCCAAGGCTAGATGACTCTAGGGTATATTCTCACAGCATTCTATGCTTACCTTATTGTGATGCAGGTCCCATTGTATTGGAATTCCTTTTCCTCTTAAATGCGCCCTCCCCCAGACTATAGGCAGAAACTGAATCCTGTTCTCTATTGCATCTCTGTTACTCAGCATGATATTTGCATTTACAATCTGATTTTATTTACTTAATTATAAGAAAACTCTAAGAAACTCGTTGCAGAAAGGTTTTCATTTAATACAAGGGAGCGTGTTATGTAAAAAAGACATAGCAAAACTTGGCTTTTCAAAAATAATAAAAAAATCACTTGAGAATTTATAGAGTACATAGGGGATTGGTGGTTATCTATTTATTTATCTCTTTATTTTTTGCCTACCTTCTTTAAAGATAAATTGTGCTCATTGAACACTACTGCTTCCTCTATGGTTATATTTGCTTTTTCTTTGTTAGAGCACTTCTATTATCTATCAGCTGAAGACAAATCCCTGTCTAAATCATCTTGCCAGGTTTGAGTGCTCCTGTTTTGTGTTTTACAGACTGCAATATAAAATAAGAACCTCAATAATAGCATTTTTCACATTCTTTTCAATTACCTAATTATTTGGTAATTCCCTCCTAGACTGAGTACTTTGAGGGCAGGCACCATGTGTATCTTATTCATTATTGAGTGCTTAGCACAGTTTCTGGCACTTAGTAAGAACTCAATAAATATTGGTGAAATATTTATTTATTTATTTTTATAAATTACTATTAATATTTATATAATAATATTATTATGAATTATTATTAATTCATATATACTTATATTTATGCTTGCTGTTGTGACTTTAATTTTGTACTTGAAAAGAGAGGATGTTTGGGGAAAAGAAGAATGACTCAAAGAATTATTACCATTTCTCTGTCAAGAAATAATTTTTGTAATAATTTACTTTCATCAGGGATTTTCTTTTCTATCCTCTCTTATAACACAGTGATGGGAAGCAAAGCTTTAGTTTTATCAAAGTTTCTGTGTATATTCAGGAGTCAGGGGAGGAAGGCATGAGTCAGACAGACTTCTAGAAGCCAAGTAGAGTGAGTGAGCTCACAGTCTGGTGGGGGACTTCCTGGGTTTGAATTGTGGCTCTCTCATTTGCTAATTGTGTGACTATGAAAGAGTTACTTAACCTTTCTGGATGTCAGTTTTCTCATCTTTAAAATGAAAATAATAATACTATCTACTTCAAAGAGTTTTTATGAAGATTGCTTTCCACTTGCTTGGAATTCAAGATACAATAAATAGGATATGATTCTGGCTTTGTCACCATATAGCAGTGTCATTTCCCTTTCTGAATCTCAGATTAAGAGCTTGCAAAATGAGAGGTTTGGCTGGATTATGCCCAGCATTTCATCTATTTTTACAATCTTGTGATAATTGTGTCTCAACTCCATCATTTACACAATAATAGGGTTGGGCTGGATCAATGAATCAGAGCCTGGATATGCATCTACATCATCCACAAAACATTAAAAATTATGATCCCGTATTTGCATCTCAGATCTACTCAATCAAAAATATCTATGAGCAGAGCTCAGGTATCTGTACGTTTAAAACGTTTTTCAAATTATTATGTTATTTACAGTTTGGATGACTGGTGATTTAGAACTTTCCACCCCGAACATTTTGTGATTCTAAAACTTTCTATTCACAGTTTCTAATTCACAGAGGGCTATGTGGGGGAATGTTATAAACTTTACTGAAAAGGAGATTTCCTGGTGTCAAGAAAGTTACTAAACATCTTCAAGGAGAGAGGTGTTGGTCCTGCTAAATACTGTAGAGACTAGGTGAGATAAACATGAGATCATGTCTTTAATGTTGGAATTTCACAAACTTGGCAGAAGTTTTATGAAAGTGATAGAAACTGAAATCTAATTATAATTGATTAAAAACTCGAAGAGAAGGAGGAAGTGCAAAAATATGCATAGCTTAATCAAAATATGTTAGAATAATAGATCAATGGAAAAACATAGAACTAGAAATAATCTCATATGTGTAAGTATTTGGAAAACAATAAAGATGGCATTTCAAATCAATAATAAAATGGTAGATTTTAAATAAATAATGGTAAAACAATGTATTTGCTATTTAGAGAAAAAATACAGCTAGATAGTTACATTATTCCACATACCAAAATAAATTCCATGTGTATTTGGCATTAAAATTTAGCAAACTTTTAAACTATAATAGTGCCAATGGAAATATATGTGAATATTCATTTAATATCAGTGCAAAAGCAGAAGCAATCATAAGAAAAAAATTTGTTTTTAAATCCCTGTAGTGTAGTTGTGTACTGAAATGTTTTTGTTTGTTCTGCAATACTTCCAGGAACAATTTCTCTGTAAAATGTGGCTTTTGAAGACCTTTATGGTATGGCCTAATTTAATCAGATCTCCAGCTTCACCTCAATGGTCCCATCCCTAAACCTTGGTGATAAGACATTTCTTATCATCTTGACAAACTGTGTCATTTTAGAGCTAAGTGCCTTTGCACATGCTATTTTCAGTCCAAAAAGGCTTTTTTCCCTTTCTGCTGGTTACTCTTACCTCCTACTCACTCCAGAGGACTGAGCTGCAATGCTATCCTATTCTGTGAAGTTCTCGCAGTATCCCCTGGCATAAATGATGTTTCCTCCCCTGTGTTCCTCTATCTAGCACATGGCCCATTTCTCTACTGTAGCCCTTATCTTGTGAAGGATAGGAATCTTCTACTTTATCCATGTAATGTATCTTGAAAGCTAGCAGTTGGTCTGGCATAGATTCTCAATAAATGTTGATGGAATGAATAAAAGAAAACTGATTCCTGAAATAAAAAACCAAACAGTGAAAAAATTCTTTAAATACAATAATAACAAACACAAGTCATTAACTTTCACTTTCTGCTCTATGGTGAAATAGATACTATGCCTTGTTACAAAATAACTAAGTCCTGCATAAAACTCACTAAATTGTGGAATACATGGGATAGATTGAGAATTGCCTGAGAGAACAAAAAATAAAAGGGAGGGAGGAATAAAAGAAGGAAGAGAAGAAGGAAGAGAGGGAGGGGAGAAGAAAGAAAGGAAGAAGGCAAAGAAAAAATGCCAATTAAAAAAATTAAATCACTGAAACTGGAGTAGTGATCTATGAGTATACATAAGAGCTCACATGAGGGAAGAGGATTTTATTAGCCATTAAGGCCAGAAATAAAGTCCAGGGCTTAAATCTGGGTCTCTAAAATTAAACCTGGGAAGCCAGAAGGATAGAAAGGGGACAAGTCCTAAAGAGGCAATGCCCTGGGCTTTTGGAGACAAAACCCAAACAAATGTAAACACTCACTGAAGGGAAGTGTCATTAGCATCCTCAATTTAAGTCCCTATGTTTTCAAAAGTTTAAGATAAACCAAATAAAATTTTATAATCAAAGATCACCAAATGTGCAATGGGAGAAAAGAACAATCTCTAGGGAGTCATCAGAAGGAACAAATAAAATATTTAGACCTTCATGGATTTTAAATATTGGAACTATTTGGTACATGATAATAAATTATAATAAGTGAAATAATTAAAAAATAAATAGATACATTTTTTGAAGGTTAACGAAAGACTTGAACCCATAGATACAGGCTGGAGTGTCTGGAGCAGAGTTAAGGAGGGGAAAGTAAGAGGTCCACAATGTGGGGATACAGGACACACATGCAACATATATGAAGCAGAGCAAATAAACACAAGCCCTTTCCCAGACACTTATTGATATTATGGAACAAAAAAGACCACGAAAATAATCTAAAATGGACAGAGAGAAGAGATGAATCACTTCTTAATGAATGATAAAGGTGTAAAGACATCTAACAGCAACAAAAAACCCATAGAGAGTGAAATAATTCATTCATATATTTATATGAAAAATATTTATCACTACTCCACACAGTGTTCCAGGCACTATAAATAGGCCAATAAGCCAAAATCCCTGCCTTCATGTAGCTATCATGATCAAAATAAGTCATAT